TTTTTAATGTCGTTGACGACGTGACTATTTATCGCGACTGAATCAAATATTGAATGAGCCAAATCATGACATGTAATAATACACAATTTGTAATTTAACTTTAAAGTCGCTTATAAAGGCTAGAGTCAGTTTTTTATACCCGAAATATTTATAATTTGACATGTAATTTTACATTTTTTGAACAAAAAAAATTAAAGGAAATTTGAATAAAGGAAATTAGTCCACACGACAAACTAGTATCGGCAAGGCATAATAGTGAAGTCTGCTTGGAAACGATTTTTTGGTGGCTCGAAGATTCTAATCCGCCATACTTATCATGGAATGATTGTCACTTTACTACTTTCTCATATCCGTGAGATCAATGACACTTCAGGTCAATTTTCAATGTTGTTTGGCTGATTGGAGATTGTAACAGTATCAGTACAAAACTAATCTCAGTACTSATGATTTTCAGAGCTGTCTACAGCCCACCCTTACCCCTGGAATCATCAGAGCTGTCTACAGCCCACCCTTACCCCTGGAATCATCAGAGCTGTCTACAGCCCACCCTTACCCCTGGAATCATCAGAGCTGTCTACTGTGTCTACAGTGTACAGTCTGACCCCCACCCCACCCTTACCCCTGGTTTGTAACTCGAGTAAGTCAACAAAAGGCAGTGTTGATATAAAGTGCATTCCTAAAAGAAAGAATAACACAATACCTCAAGTAGATACACAGGAATCTGCAAGGTAACACTGTGAATGTAGATCGGAAATACTGTACAAGTATCAAGTGTGACACGACCATGTTGACTATTAATACCCTACTGGGTATAGTATCAATTCTCGTCATCACTGCCCACAACATTATGTCTGACAAGAAAGCCTCTCCAACGCGCTTCTACACAGAAAAACTTCCAACAATATCAAGTCGGGTGACTGTTCGTGACAGTACGTCTGGTAACTTCATGCCTTCTGTTGGTAATGGTTATGTTGGTACCGTTATTTTCAGTGGATCTATTCACGTRTCTGGTGTGTTCAGTGGTAAAGCTAATCCTAAAAAGAAGCCTGTTTACCCTGTATACTTTTACCAGCATGCCCATCGTGCTAGGATACCGTCAACCTGTGCGTTAGAGCTTGAAGTGTCTAGTGTAGATGGTGCTAAAAGCTCCTATGCTTTGGATGTCAGCGATGGAGTATTCTATCGCTGGATCTCAGCCGAAAACTTTAATCTTGAACAAAGAATTTATGCTCACAGATCAAAGAGACATCTTCTAGTCGTAGAAATCTCGGTAACTAATGGTCTTGGAAAACCCGTAGTTGTGAAGATAAACAACAATAGAGGGAATGATTCGTTAGACATTGATTTGACTGAGGTCCAAGTAGAACAAGGATTGATGGCAGCCATTGGAAAGGTAACGCAACGCACAACTGGTTATAATAGGTAACACTAGCCCACTACTACAGAGTATCGTAGAACAATGTCAAACTGTATATGAAGGGTTACTGAACAAGCACAATGAAATTAGAAAGAAAGAAAAATAGAGAAAGGAAACAAAAAAGCAATGAGTAATACTTATAAAAATCAGCCCTTTGCTTGTTCACTTGAACGAGGCACTTGTAAAAAAAAATCTAAGAGTTGGAGGGAAGAGTAGTTCTGATGGGGGGAGGGGGTTATGAATGAAATTATCATGATAATACTATATTTTCATGGGGGGAGGGGGATAGGCATCTTAATTATGAATGAAATTATCATGATAATACTATATTTGGATGCTCCAGGTGAACATAACTGAAACAGACCACAGTATTCGTCCTGAAGTTGCGGTAGCCTGGACATCAGTTCCTTCAATGCTGAATGTCGAATCCACCAACCAAGAGCAAACATGGTACTTCATAACAGCGATAGCTACAAGTCTTGATACAAAGTATGGTCCATTATCTGAGGCTGTCAGCCAATGGGACGAGGCCAATAGGTGAGTGAAACTAAAAAAATGGATGGACGGATGGATGAATAAATGATCAATTCGGATTGCATGAACAAACTTTATCACCTGAACTCGTCAAAGTCAAATTTAAAAAATAAAATGTTTACTTGTTTATCTGGTGCAAGTATGTCTGATAACTAAAGGTCAACGTTTATTTCAGAACCAAATCGAGTTTGTTGGAATCCCACAAGGAAGCTTGGAAGCAAGTTTGGAATTCCGGTAAAATTGATATCGAAGGCAACCTTGAGCTATCCCAGGCTGTCTATGGTAGCATGTACTATATTCTCAGCTCGATCAGGTCTGATTGGCCTTATGGTCTAAGTCCGGGGGGTCTATCTGGGGGAGAGGAATACATGGGGCATACATTTTGGGATCAGGATATCTGGATGTATCCATTTTTGRTCTTGTTGTATCCTGATTTAGCCAGAGCTTCATTGCAGTATCGGTACGAACGCTTGCCCGCAGCGAGAAGAATCGCAAGGAAATACGGATATAAAGGTATTGACGCAGTAACGCACGTGTGATTACGTTAACGCAATGCTATGACGTAATAATCTAATACGTTAAGTTTCCTGGTTGCTGTTGATCGTAATATCGTCACTATAACTCAATTATTGAACGTAACGGAATATTTTGCTGCAACAGTTGGATGAGTAGCACTCCTCACCTTTCATACAAACGAGCCCTGTTCTGTTTTTTTTTTTCAAAGGTGCAATGTTTCCCTGGGAAAGCGCGTTTACTGGTTTGGAAACATCGCCTGGTGAGGTGTACGGAAAGAACCAAAACCACATCACCGGTGATATTGCTCATGCTGCTAAGCTATACTGGCGTATGACCAAAGACACTCAGTGGCTACGTCAAAATGGATACCAGTTAGCAAAACAAACAGCAGAATTCTGGGCCAGCCGAGTCCAATACCGTAGTGACGTAGATCGGTACGTCATCAATCACGTGATGCCTCCTGACGAGTATCATTATCCTGTGAATAACTCTGTCTATACCAATGTTGTTGCAAAGCTTAACCTCGAATTTGCAATCAAGGCAAGTCATGTGGTCGCAATCAGTAGTTGTCGTCATTTCTCGTCGTGGTCGCGTCGTAAGGTCTTCGTAGTGGTGTCGTTGTCATATCGTAGCTCCATCGTAGTGTTATTAAACCTCGGTGATTAAAACTCCATGAAAAAGATTGAAAATTTACTTTTTTCAATTGTTTATAGGTGTCTGAAATCATAGGACTAGAAGCTCCTGAAGAATGGTCTAAAATATCTCGACTGATGTTCATACCGTTCGACGAAAAGAACCAGTACCACCCCGAGTATGAAGGTTATAACCTTAAAATTACAGCAAAGCAAGCAGACACAATCTTGATTGGTTACCCTCTTATGTATAATATGAATACAAAGGTACTCCATACATTCATTGGGGAAGAAGAAATAGCGAAAATAGCTAGGAAAAGGAAATGGGGGTTGAGAGGATTTTAAAGAGAGAAAAGAACGGATGTATGAGAGAATATGGAAGAGAGAAAGAAAGGGAATTATCAATTGTTTGAAGATTGAATAAAACAAAATATGATGAGAAAGAAAAGGGTTAATAKAGGATATAATGTTTAATATGTTGACTTATTCTAGGTTCGTTCTAATGATCTAAGGCTTTACGAAGAACGCACAGATCCAGACGGACCAGCAATGACTCATTCCATGTTTGCTATTGGTTGGCTTGAGTTAGGAAAGAAAGACAGAGCTCAAAAGCCTTTCACGAAAAACTTTGAGAACATCGTTGGACCATTTAAGGTAGACAAGTGACTCACTTTTAACAATTCAATGCGTTACTAGAAAATATGATTTACTCTTACTTCAAGGTCTGGGTTGAGCATCGTAAACCTAGTGGTCAAGTTAATTTCATAACTGGTGCAGGTGGATTCCTACAGACAATCACGTATGGCTATGGTGGATTCAGAATTCACAGTGATCATCTTGCTTTCAACCCTACCCTACCCCCTAACAGTACCAAAATGACCATCAGAGGGGTCAATTACCTTGGCAACTTACTGAGCTTTGAAGTTTCAACCAACGAAGTCATTGTCAGTCTTCTGGCAGTCGATGAAGTTGCACCGTCTCTCGAGGTCGTCAGCCATGGAAAAACATTCTTGCTCGACAAGAAAACAAAGTTATCATTGTCAAAAGGCAGTGGGCTAGTGCGCATGCGTAGTAAACCAACTATTTCATCGGCTGCGTCTCGTGGTCTTCCCGTCGGTCTTTGCGTTTTTGTCATGATGATGTTCTTTGTATTGGCGGCTATTTTGGTCTAACTTACGCCACACGGTTTAGGGCAGTAAAATGACGTTATCACTAAAAGCGGTAAAAGAAAGAAAGTTTCATGATCATTTACCGAAACTCTTTTTGACATAGTTTTTCTACATATTTCTACTCTTCAGATCACATTTCACTCTATTGTTTCATTTGGTTCAAGTCATGTAGATATCTAGTCAGATGTTAGTCAACCGTGTGACATTTTTTTCATCCTACTGTGTCTTTGATTAAAGCGATGACAGAAAACCTGCCAGTCTCTTTGTTTGTCCGAGTCGGGTTATGAGCCAGACACATTGCAATGACTCGATTTCTTATTTCTTTCCTGATAATAGCCCAGTGCATTTCAGATTTTACTGAAGGGAAGTCTTTGAAAGGTAAAGTATTTGAGACAAATATGTACGGTAGTCTGGCAGTCCAGCAGTACTTGGTGCAGTGCGGTAAATGGTTTCTATCCTAAAAACATATTTTTCATTGATAAGAGTAGCCTAGCTGTAGATTACCAATTTTCAGCAACAAATATGGAAATCCCTGTTAACATTAGATTCCATGTCTGGTTAGTTTGTCTTCTACGAATATATCAAAAGAAGTTAAAGACTCGTGTCTTGCAAACCATATGTGATTATACTGGAATAGTTTATACCGTTACCAGGAAGTAATGTTAGCACAGTGTTAACAACGTTGTCTGTTTTTCCTCCAGGATTGAGGCATCATCATCACCATCACCATAGACATCACCATCATCGCGCACCAGTGTTTGTCAACCCATACAGTTACCACTTTATTGCGACTTCTTCTAACACCAATGTCAACGATGTGTTTCCTTCAGATGATGGTCCTATTGCGACTTCTTCTAATACCAATGCCAACGATGTACTTTCATACCACAGACCTTACCTTCCTGCCGACGATGAACCTCATTACATTGCAACTTCTTCTGATAACAATGCCAACAATATTTTTGCAAACCACAGACCTTACCTTTCTGCCGATGATGGGCCTCATTACATTGCAACCTTTTCTGATAACGATGTATTACGGCATCACAGGCGTAAACCATACGCTCCACAAGATTACCTTCTAAAAAACTCTCCTCTCTTACGAAGTTCTCAAAGTTTACCGGAAAGTAGTAGGCAGTTTGTTTCGAACCCTGATCGGTATTTCATCAACTTGGATGGCTACAGAGGGTGGTTTGTCAATCGGGGCAAGATAAATTTCAACAATGGCTACGAAGATATATCGATTTCTAAGCGAGCACAGCCATTTCGACCGAGCGACAGACCGATTTTTTCTGAACTCGACTGATCGCACACATATCAAAAATACCAATAATATCTGGAAAAAAAAAACAAACAAGGCGAAGTGCATGATCTGTGGAAATTATAATTAACTCTATATTGGAGTCAAATCCGTCACTCACTCACTCTCACTTTCCTGTAATGTTCTTTGTTAGTTTATAAGGATCAATTACTCAGTTTATTTGATTGCGAATTCTGTTTGCATTTAATGGTCAAGCTATTATATTCACTAAATTTATCTACATAACAAGCAGTTGTGAAGACCGCTGTTTAATTACTAGTACAACTAGAATATATATTGAAATGTATTTCATGGGTAGTTCCAATAATAATTGATACAGAGGACGCTCTTGCCATATTCATCTACTTTTATTCAATTTCTGTTAGACATAATTTCTAGGTTTGTTTCATTATGATATTTTTAGGTTGTATTAGCTACTGCAAGCTTCTTCAAATGCTCCATAAACACTTGTAAACTAACATCGTCTGTTAAGACAGGTGCACCAGATGCGTCTTGTCCCCATGCTATCATGTTGTTGTGCGTCTGAGAAGGATTGACTTTCGATAACAAGAAACGTTGCTGAAACAATAACATTGATGTTAGACTGTAAAGTTCATTAAGTATATCAACATCATCACAAACACAGCTGTCCTTATCTTATTACACATCGTTCATCATCACACTGATAGCATTCGAACCATCATCATCACTAATAAAGTACCTGACTTTTTCCGTGTTCAGTCTCGATGTATCTTGGCATTGGGAAGCGGACTTGTAGAATTTCACCAGCATCATCGACTGGTGCTTGAATAAGCTGACGGAAACTCTCGTACTGTGGGTCATTTTGATATCCTGCTTTGCGCCATTGAGCGATCGTCTGTGATAACAATGTACATGTACAAGAAATATAATATCTATATAGAATCGCTTGATATATCATCAAGTAAATTTTCAGTTTGAACTCAAACAGAYTGTACACAGTAGAAATACTGGAATAACATACCTCGCCATGATAGATAAGGATTTGAAAGAATGTGTCGAGCAATAAGATTCTGTCAGGTAAAATGCTACTGGAATCTAATAAAACAGGCTGAAATACAAGAAAAACAATCGTTACAATAGTGGTTTTTACTTAATACTCAAATAAAGACTGAGTACACAACGTCTATAAAAACACATGAACTCAATGTAAGAATGTAAAGAATTTCTAGGCATCAATCACTCTACTCTAATTCATGTAAACTTTACCTCTGGTGGTCCTTGGAATGAGTATGAGTACAGGATTGGTTGAATCATAATAAGCGAGTTTGTAACATCCTCTCGGTTAATGATATGTCTATGAGCAACAAGCAATATAAGTAATGACATAGATTTTACATGCACAATATATTAGTTTAGTGTTTCTAACACTAATAAGTTATACCTGTAATAAGCTGTCTCATCAGGACTGTTGTTGAACACTTGTAGGAACTGTGACCGTCTTAAATGGAACATAAACTGAAAAACAAAATTCACCAAATTCAGTCCTCAATAAAATGACATTCAACTGTAGTAAATCATCATGTTTCATTACCTGGGGATAAAGTGAGAAGTTCTCTGCGAGTCTGAAGGAGCTTGGATCATCTTTATGGTATTCTCCAAACTTTTGACAGAGTCGAATTAACATCCTGTCCAGCCAACGTAGCACATCTGGACCATCATCCCCCTCAGCTCTGAAGACAAAGAATACCATGAATACCAGGAAAACCAGTAAAAGTAGTGACAACTAATAAAATACCTGAACACAGCTATTCTACTCATCAAAACAGCTGCTGCTTCCTGGTCAAATCCCATAGCAATATGACCTGTATTAGTGGCATCAACCCAATTCCTGGCACATGTTGTTACACGAACTCGTCTTTGTCCACTAGAATGTTGATATTGCGTTATAAACTGTATGCAGCCACGCCCTCCTTGAGGGACTGGAGCTGTGTGTTGGTTAACGATCTCAAAAAATACAGCCGCTGTTGTCGTTGGGTCTAATCCACAGAATTTCCAGGCACATGTATTACCAGTTCCAATTTCCTGGAATGATGAATTATTATGTATTAATTAACAATCATATATATTTTTTAATCAAATCAATTGAAAATACTTACTGTTTCTGAGACATTGGGTCCCTTTCTATCCAAAGATAAGCATGGTCCTATTGCACCCGACACCTTTAACTCACGTGATGTCTGAAAACAAAACTTTACACTCATCTACCATACTCACAGATAAACAGCTAATACTTCCCTTGAAATACACAATCATGATCCAAAATCCATTTCCCACAACCCCAACCCATTCATCTAAAATCTCCCCGTATTGATTGACACTGTTGATACATACCTTGACTTCTAGTGTCGCACCAAATGCCATTTTGAATTCACCACGAATGTCCTTAGCAAATACTCTTTGGAAAGTCTGTTTGAAAAGTGCAGTGTTGAAGGAGTCACCCATCACCATGTACCCCCTGAAAATTAATACAATAGATTAAGTACTGCTTTGGCGTTTGTAAATTGCATTAATTTGATGAAATTACCCTGTGACGTTGGGATTGTATTTCATTTCATGTAATCCTGTTTGATCAAGTTGGCAAGCAAAGATGTCAATTACATGACCATTTTCAGCAGCTCGTTTAGACAACACATCATAAAACTAGAATAAAAACAATAAATATTAATTAGTAATTATTTTTTAATATTAAATAACATTATAGACTATCAATTAATACTATAAATACCTTGACAGCCTTTCTAACATGGACAGCATTGTCTTTTTCCAGATCATGATGTGATCTCATGGGATTCTTAAGTTCATTGTCAGCAACCATTCCTGGACCTTGTGTAGCTGGTCCTGCCATAAATAACATTATCCTTGCGCCAGTATTGGGGTATGTACACTGCAACAACAAAAAAACACTGCATGTTGTATCATGGTTTAATAGGGATTATGTATCTTTCAGAATGATATTGTACACAGCCATTCCAGCAAACCCCAGTTGAAAATATTGGTGAGTACAGAAATATATTTTGATTTATTATTTCAATAATAACAATAAAATCATCGATAGTAGTTTGAATAATCACCTCAAGAAGCCCTGTAGCAATAGACAAAGCCACACCACTAGATCTAAGGGGCCTTTTTCCAGTAGCTACAGGCCAGGGATCTCTCTGTAATTCTCCCAGTAAGTCTGTGAGACTCATATCACACTTGTGAACTGGTTGTAAGAACCTGTTAAATGAATCAGCATGTTGTTGTGGAGGCATTGGTCCTCTTTGACCAGTCTGTTGTCCTCTTGCTCCAAGACCAAGCATGTCCTGTAAAAATACATGAATTACTTTAAGTAACCTGCTTACAGTAGATAGTTGGATGATTTTACAGATAATGATTGAGCTTACATATTTCATTAATGGCAAAGATTTTCTACATTATAACTTTGTTTTTAGTGTTGACATACAGACCTGAATCTGCTTTGCATTTAGATCTTTTGTACCCCTGAATACATAGCTTTTAGAACAACCTTCACAGCCAAGCTCATGTACATGAACCTGAAAAACAAGTTTATAAAAACATGTCAGTCAAGTAAGCAACTTACTGAACTAAAACAATGATATCATACCATTTTTCCAAAAGTAATGAGACCAACAAGGGCATTGGGTGGCATCAAACTCAGTGACATCTGAAGAGATTCCTACATAAACACATTAAACAATCAGAAAAAACAGGAAAAAGTACAGGTGTCATAGACTTATTAAATTCACAAAATGAACCTTGACAGCTTGGAAGTCTTCTTCATCCATACATGTATCCAAAACAATTAGGAATATCAATGGTCCAGATGAGCCTCCACGCTAAAAAAACATGATATGGTCATATTCACAATGTCATTATTTTAAATCCAGTTGTTTAATTTACTTGTAATTATGGATGGGCTTTTGTGTGACATCAAAGTACAGTGAACAACAGCTATGACAGGCAGGGAGAGAAAGCAGTCAAACTGATTATAATAGATTGTCCTGTAGAAAAGTTGAACTGTGTAGCTGTGAAATCCATGTTTACCTGTAATGTGTATTCAATGGTGGAAAACTGTGGGATGAGTTCTGCTGGTTGATGCTGCTCTGATATTCCTGCATACTGTGGTGGGAACTGATACAATAATCATTAATATTAGGAGATAATATATCCATAAAATAATTGTCAACATGATCATCTATTATTAATAATCACATGGATATTACAAGTAAATAATGCTAAACTTACAGCATTTCTTTGGAAACAGAAATTGCAATGCCACACTTTGGATCTATAGTCAACTTGACTAAAAACATCACAACAATGTTAGCTAGGACATGAATGTTTATTCCTATTTCACTTAATATTGCACTGGAAATACAAATTACAAACTAAAGCTCTTTTTATAAAAATACCAGACATTTAGAGTATAATTTGTTTACTACAGAAATTCTGTGCAATACTCCTAAATATCGATCGGTAGACTATGTAGACATTTAGTAATGTGGACACGTCATGATCAGCTGTCAACTCAGCCAAAACATACCACAAAGGATTGAGAACTGCTCTACAGCTATTGCGAGAGCAAAGCACAGGATCGTAGCATATTGGAGGAAGATCTGGCCTTTCTTTTAATGGTGTGTAAGTACATCCAACAGGAACGACCTAATAATATTACAACATCGACGTCAGAACCAAGTCACCAATCATCCAAGTTTATATCAAGTTAATCACCCACCATTCTCGTAGCTTCAAGTCGACTTGATGGCCAAACATTCCAACTAAAACGTACACCATCTCTGTCTTCATTTTGATTAATAAAGTCTTGATAAGTAGTCATTTTCTCCACAAAATTGTAGAAGAATCCAACACAAAAATATTACAACACGAAACACCGGCCACGTAGCAGGCATGCGCAGTAGTTTCTAGTTACCAGGACATTATCGTACTGCTTTTAGACAGGAATCCCGTAATTTGGACGATAAAAAAATTAAAAGGAAATATTGACAAATTCACGGCCGTGCATACGGCGATTCTCGGTGGACGGAATACTCATGATGCTGGCTACCAAGTAGTGTGTAGTAGTATTATTCACGCAAGCCGCTCAATATATCAGATATTTATTGTATGCTTCAACTTAAGTCACCGTATCATTACAATTTCTTCTCTTTTTTGCTCGATAAGCACCAATCTTATCACACATTAAACTTTAATATATTGAAATGACATCAAAATATTTACATCTGATAACTTCCCTAATATGGACAACCGCTGAATACAATCAATCAATTGAATCAATCAATCAATCAATCAATCAATCAATCAATCAATCAATTAATCACTGACTGAATCAATCAATCAATCAATTAAAAACTGAATAAATCAATCAATCAATCATTCAAATAAGTCAGTCGTTAATCCGTCAATCAACTAATCAATATATACTGGCTTATTTAGCACAATAAGATTTCCACTAGTCTAGTAAATAGAGAAAGAAACACATTGTTATCATTTGTTCTGTCGTGATAGAGGGTGTCCACATTAGAGATGAAAGATTTTACTCAATAATAAAGCAAACATAGTGATGTCTAACGTTGTTTCATTCTAATAATTCCTTTTCCTTTGGACACAAGAATCGGTTCTTTTAGCGCTAGCTTGTGCACTTTATTGTACACAACGACTTCTAGTGCTGGCGCGATTTCTTTGTTTGATGTCAACGTTATCTTAACTTTCTTCTTTTTGATCTCAAAAGTCATTGAGTTGCCCAGGTAGTCGACACCAGTGATTGYAAGCTTTTTACTACCAGGAGTAAGCTGAGGGTTGAATTCCATGTGATCTTGTCTCAGGCGAAAGCCSCCRTAGCCATAWAGTATTGCCTGAAGAAACCCTCCAGCTCCAGTTATGAAGTTGGTTGCTCCCTTTCGATTGATTCTTTCGGTCCAAACCTGAAACAATTGTAAGGRAAATAATAATAATTATTCATTATACAGACATACTTTGGGAAGTATCTTGTAAAGCTTTGTATCGGGATTGCGAGTTGTAAACATGTTTGACAGCCTGGTCACCTTAAATGGTCCGTTTAAATTGTCGTAGTTTTTCAAGAAAGCTCTATCAGCTCTTTGTTTTTCTCCGACCTCAAGCCATCCAATGGCTGTCATGGCATGTGTCATAGCAGGGCCATTAGGATCAGTAATGTTTTCATAGTAGAGGAGATCATTGTGGCGTACCTTGGAAGGAAAAATATAACACATTAGACACTAGCAGAAACTGAAAAATTAAGAAACTAATATTGGGAGGAATATGGAGTAGTTTCTCGCTCCATGATTACTCATTGTGAAGTTATTATACATTATACTGGAACACCCGAACACAAATTGCATGATGTGACTACATATGACCGGTATATACCTCTCTACTCATGTTGTACATTAAGGGATATCCTAACAAGACAGCGTCGGCTTGTTTGGTCTTTTTGGTCAAATCAAAGCCGTCAAACTCGGGATGGTACTGAAGCTGTTCATCAAATGGGATGTACATTTTCTTGGCTACTTTTCCCCATATTTTTGGTACGTAACGGTTTAGGATTTTTCCGCACTAAGGTAAAAAGTGAAAATAAGATTCGTTAATATTAATTGTTTTTGTTTTTTATCATGTGATGTAACGTACATTTTGATATTCGTCTTACGCCTTGTGTTGCTAGTAGTTTTGTACTATGATAGTATGTTTATTTTGTTTTCTGTTGCTATATATTTATTTTTCTTCCTGGTGTTGTGCTATTTTGTTTTTGTTTTTGTCATATGCAATTTTGTGTTACATTAATGCGACCAGCAATTACCTCTATAGCAAATTCCAGATTTTGTTTAGCAACCACGTTGGTATAGACCGAGTTATAGACAGGGAACTGGTACTCGTCAGGAGGCATGACGTAATTGATGACGTAACGATCCTTTTTTTTGTCATAAGTTACTCTACTCGACCAGAATTCTGCGGTTTGAAAGGCTAATTCAAACCCTACTTGTTTCAACCACTGAAGATCTTTGGTGGCCAACCAATATAGCTTGGCTGCATAGGCGACGTCACCTGTCACGTGGATTTGGAATGAACCATATTTGGAACCTGGCGACGTTTCAAGACCTGTTAATGCGCTCTCCCATGGAAACATKGCACCTGCAATAATAGAATTATTAGACACACTGAAATATTGATACATTTWTATCTACTATGGCATTCAATGCATTCGGCACTTWAGACGATCACAAGAAACCCGCGCAAGATGCAATTTGAACGGCAGATACTAAGTACAAGTGGGGTAACATACCCCTGTAACGATGGTTCCTTGCGATTCTTCTCGCTGCGGGCAAGCGTTCGTACCGATACTGCAATGAAGCTCTGGCTAAATCAGGATACAACAAGACCAAAAATGGATACATCCAGATATCCTGATCCCAAAATGTATGCCCCATGTATTCCTCTCCCCCAGATAGACCCCCCGGACTTAGACCATAAGGCCAATCAGACCTGATCGAGCTGAGAATATAGTACATGCTACCATAGACAGCCTGGGATAGCTCAAGGTTGCCTTCGATATCAATTTTGCCGGAATTCCATATTTCTTCCCAAGCTTTTCTGTGATGCCATAGTAAATATCTTTGTTTTCTTGTCGATTAAATAATAACATTATCATCATTAATCATCTAGTTTCTAAACATTTTGTGATGTGCAATACACTAGAAGACTAAGATAGCGTACTCGACGCGTTCTTGAAAAATACTTCTATCAGCGTCAAGGCCAGCTTGATGTGAAAAGAAAGAGGTGGCCTGCGCAGAAAAATAGAGTTACCTTAAGGCCTCTTTCCATGTTCCCTCGGCCTGGCGCCAAGGATCAAATAGTGTGTCAACACTAGTGGCAGCCGCTGAGATGAAGTACCACGTTCTCCAGTCAGACGCTGCTATTTGGATTTGSTCTGGAATGTCGTGAAATGCTAGAGCTACATTAGACTTGAGACTGTCCACTTCTTCTGCTTTTGATATCTGTTAACAAGAATCCGTGACAGAGAGAGAAAAAAAAAGAAGAGCTGGAATGAAGTCGTCATCACCATCATCATCGTTCAATAACTAATTTTGCTTCAATTATCATTAAACATTTCTGAATAAYAAACAAATAAAATAAAATAAAGTAGTGAAGTTGTCCTTCAGTARCATTGTTTTGTGCAGAATGAAAGTGGAGAGTAGGYCATACGCYACTGTTTATASAAMTTTATTTCCYTCTAGCTTTCGTYGGTCGCCGACRTCATCAAATCAATCACTCTCCTKATGATGTCGGCGACCGACGAAAGCTAGAGGGAAATATAGTTCTATAAACAGTAGTGTATGGCCTATTCTCCATTTTCAAAATAAAATAAACMAATATGAATTGATTCTTACCCTGCCGTAGGCCATTTCCATCTCTGTTTTCTTATCCACGGTGTATTGTGTAAATGCGATATCCTTTGAGARCTCACCAAAGTTATTGGTTAAATTAATTGTTAGATTTCGTTCAAAGTAGTTTTTAATGGTTATCTCATTAACTAAAAGATTTCTCCATTGACGATGCGCATAAATGCGTTGTTCAATGTCCAAAGAACCYGAAGAACCGTTMCCTTCCTCKGCTTGGAACCATCTGTAGAATACYCCTTCGGTGATGTTCAACCCATACGCYGTGTAGCCCCCTAACACATCAAGTACTGTGAAATTGATGGCACAAGTAGATGGTAGTCTAGCTCGATGTGTGTGATGTGTTCTGTTAATGGGGTAGATTGGATAACCTTTAGAGTACGCTTTACCGTTAAACAACCCAGATACATGGACTGTATCGCTAAAGATTACCGTACCGATGAAGCCGTTTCCAATGGAAGGCATCATGTTGCCTGCTCGGTTACCTGTGATTGATACGGTACTGTAGACATTGTTGGGTAATGTCTTGGAAAATAAGAGTTTCTCGCTAGGCTTRGTAGGCCTAGAACACCAAACAGTGTTCAAAACCTCCTGAAATACTAACAAAGCAACAAGTACTCGCATCATTGCTGTGCAGAATACAGTGAACAATGCAGCTATTGACAACCGTCGATGACCCGACTGCGTTGCGTGCGTGACAGTGATGGGTAATCATTAACGGTTTGACGTCTCATTCCTTAGAAAAGTAATTGTAAAAGATAATRTTTATGAAAATATGCAGTTTATTGACATGAAAAGCATCTGAAAAAATGCAATTTTCTTTAGTGTTTGAATTGAAATTTCATACTGGTACTTTTATMTCGTTATCTKTTCTCTCTTAGTTRTATGTATCACTGTTRTCATAGTTTCTTGACCATGCGCACAATTGCGCGKCCTCTCATTGCARCAACASCATTTCCTTCCACTAACCGATATCGTTCYCTTCTGACGAGCAGTTCRAGATCAGGATTGATTTTACCTCTAGAAGTCAACACAACCCTAAACCAGTTTTTCCTGATTGTAAACTGKAGTTTGTTTCCAAGGTAATACACGCCATGTATGGTCAATTTGGTACATGTGGGGGGTAGTGTTGGGTAAAATTCTAACTGTTTATCCCTGATACGAAATCCGCCATATCCGTACATAACAGCTTGAAGAAATCCTCCAGCACCAGTGATGAAATTAACWGCACCTCGTCTATTGATCCTCTCCGTCCAAACCTGTCAAGGGAACACATAGGATACCGACCTCGCCCTAACACCTTTCTCCTTCTGAAGRACCCCTACTTACCCCTCCCTCCCTCTCTCATCTCATCTCATTTCCCTCGAGCTCAAATGCTGCTTTACCTTGAATGGTCCCTCTATATTATCAAAGTTTTTTTGAAATGCCTGAAAAGCACGTTGTTCTTGGCCAAGTTCCAGCCATCCAATGGCATGCATAGAATGGGTCATGGCGGGACCATACTTGCTGGTGATGTTAGTGTAGTARTGAAGATCATTCCATCGAACCTGCGAAGACAGCAGATAAAAGTTTAGGAAAATGACATGCGACGAAGTCATGATGATGGTAGACAGTCCTAGCAATGATGGCTTCTATAGTAAGGTCAAAAAACATGCGCAATAGAATAAATACCACGCATGCTCGTACGAGGACTATCCCACATGGCTTATTGCCTGACCTTCTCAATGTCCGAAATAATAGCGCGAATGTAAGGTTCTTTCCTCGCATGTGGATTTGTCTATAGTTACCTGTCTGTTCATGTCATACATCAATGGATAGCCAATCAGGATCGTGTCTGCTTGTTTTACTGTCATGTTCAAACTGAAMCCGTCAAACTCTGGATGATAATTCAATTTTTTGTCAAAAGGAATGTACATTTTATCTATGATTCTCGACCAGCGTTTAGGGTAGTCTCTACCAAGGATTTTGGAAACCTAAAATAATAAAATGTAAGGTCAACATGATAAAAAGAMATGCATTGTATCATATTCATAATAATTTTCATATTTAAAAAGAAAAGAAGTATGAGAAGAGTTTACTTGCGTGAATCCAACTAAACTAACCTGTCTAGCAAACTCTAAATTCTGCTTTGCGATGACATTAGTGTATACCGAATTGTCCACTGGGAAATGAAACTCGTCAGGGGGCATGACGTACTCAATGACGTATTTATCTCTATTTTTAAACGCACGACTGGCCCAGAAGTCAGCGGTCTGTTTAACAAGTTGATAACCAATCAGCTTCAACCACTGGTAGTCTTTTGTTAATCTCCAGTAAAGTTTAGCGGCGTGTGCGATATCACCTGAGATATGTATCTGACACTCACCATAGTACACGCCTGGTGATGTCTCTAGACCACTTAACGAACTCTCCCAAGGAAACATGGCTCCTGTCCGACAAAAAATAACGTCACGTGACAGGTCACTAGCATAGACCATTTCTGAAATACATAATCATGTTGCATTGTGGTCTAGCTTCAGTACAAACAACACCATATTTGGCAGCATGAACAAAAGATGTTTGTACTGAACCTAGGCCACAATGCAATGCAAAATGCTATCTCAGAAAAGGCCTATGGTAGAGACCAAATGATACATCACATACAATGTCACGTGATATGCTGCGTGATGTCACACTACTGATATCATTTCATAGTAGATCACATGACAACGGTCACGATAGGTCACTTGACCAAGTGTTCACTTATAAKCTRTGCGTTSTGTGTCTTACCAGTAAATCCATACTTCTGCGCCAAAAGTCTTGCTGCGGAGAGCCTTTCGTACCGATAYTGGAGACAACTTCTCGCTAGATCAGGGTACAGCAAAACCAAGAATGGAAACATCCAGATATCCTGATCCCAAAATGTATGCCCCATGTATTCCTCTCCCCCAGGCAGGCCCCCCGGACTTAGACCATAAGGCCAATCAGATCTGATCGAGCTGAGAATATAGTACATGCTACCATAGACAGCCTGGGATAGCTCAAGGTTGCCTTCGATATCAATCGATCCTGTTTTCCACAGATCTGACCACGCCTTTTTGTGGGACGCGAGTAACTCTTCCTTTTTACTGAATAAAAATGTATGAGGTRAAACGATTGTATGAATGAAAGAAAGAATAGAGGGATGGATGGATGCAATACCTCCATGCGTCATTCCAGTGTGTTTTTGCTTGTTCTGCTACATCAGTTATCTTGTATTTGATGTTTGTTGTCATTGAAGTTATAAAGAACCAACTTTGTTTTTTGGAAGTAGACTTGACAWGTAAAGTCGATGGGACTTCGTTCCAAACCAGCGCAACTTTTGTTTTGAAGCCCCGGCGGTCCTCGGCGTGTTTAATCTAAAATTACCATATGTGTTATTTACGTTTATTTACATTGTATAGAGATGTTTTCACGTCCAGTCCCCCTCCTCCTTCCTCCCCCTTATTGCTACCGGGCCCGCAACACCTTTATCATGCGGATTTGCGTTGTGGTCTTTCAATGAATTACCATTGATAGAATCTCATGTTTCACAAAGTACAATCAGTCGATCGAGCGATATTCTACGAAGACAAGACTGTCACTAATTAAGCTACTAATAGCACAAATCCTTACCTTACCGACAGCCATCTTGACTCCATGTTTGAAGCGATAATATTTGAAGTGGATATCTGTCGACGATGGTCCCCTGTTATTCGTGATATTTACGAAAACATCAACGCCCAAGTTATTTATAACAACAAACTCGACTACAAATACATGCTTGCATGCTCGATGTGCGTAAATCCTTTGCTCCACATTAAAGTCTTTAGATTGAAACCAGTGATAAAATACTCCCTSGTAAACATCTAAAGCATAGGAGTGCCTGCCATTGACATGATGGACAGTGTAGTTGATGGCACAAGTCGATGGAATGCGTGCTCGATGCGTGTGATCGTTGAAATACACAGGGTATATAGGCCAACGTCTAGAACGAGCTCTACCGTTATATACTCCAGATATATGCACAGTATCACTATAGATAATCGTGCCCATATACCCATTACCTACCGAGSCCATAATTTTACCCGGTCTGCTGTCACGGACGGAWATCTGACTATATATGTCATCCAGGTTTTTGGTATAAAATCTAGTAGGTGTGTTGRTGTGAGCGTGTGTAAAAGCTACTAAAATTGTTACAAGTAGTARTAATTTATCTACCACCATTTTGSTCTCACCGKGTACTACTGTCAGCACTCATACAAGAGRCCTTTGTCTGCTTGTACTAGTATAGTGTTACAACTAAGAATAGACTGCTGTGCTTTCATCAAAAACAATCGTTATTTATAGATTATAAATAACTATGATAATGATATATATGAAACTGATTGCACAAACTATTTCTTGTAATTAGGTATAGAGTATATAACAGCGGGGCTTGACAAATATCGAAGAGAAATATTTCTTTTATAAACGTCTATAGTGTTATTTTGTTTATATTGATCCTTCAAGTCAATTTTCTGCAAATATATCTACTTGATGMCATTTTTGAGAGCAATGAAGTAGGAGATCCGCGAGTTCACTTTTTTCGCGGCTCTTTTCTTGCCACGGAATGACGTCATTGTTCTTCCGTCATTACGTAATACTGGCATTCAATTCCGTAATACGTAGCCATTCATACTGTAGGATTCAGTGAACATCAACTTTCAATTTAATAAATTATTTATTCATTATCGCAGTTTTATTTATGTTTCTATTTGTTCATATGTTAATATACATCGAACTGCATGCCGTTTATCGAGATGAACTTTTCTTTACAAATGATACACTTGTTCTAATCCATCTAATTGATTCAGTCGAGCTATTTTAGCGTCTCTTTGCGCTCTGGCAGTACTTTACATTTCTTTCTATTCAAATTCTTTCTATTTTCATTCATTGATTCCTTTCATTTATTGACGGTCGAGTGACGTACTGTAAGGTTGATGTTTGTATTTCTCTCTCATTTCAATGATCCCACCAACGCTTGTCTTCTTAAACCAGACTTACTAAGAGTACAATGACAAGTGCGCTTGAGTTTGATGTAAAGCAGTTTGTTTGTTTTCCTTTAACGCCAAATATTTATACAGAATAATGATAATAATATTTTTACAAATATACTAATAGATTGTCCATTAATTAATAATGAAATCATGCAATACTGCAATGTGCTACTCTACGAAATGCCACCATATTTGTCCATACAATGATCRCGTGGCTTYGTGACATCATCGTAGCAAATGAGAATGTCATTATAGTCACAAGGAATTTATTGTTCTTCATCCTCGGAAATCCAGTAAACMMMGTGTATAAAGCGATAACTCCTCGATAAATAATAAGTCGTCTATGGTGCCGTTGGGTTCCTGTGGATGACTGCGATGATTTAAGACTAGAGTGCATCAACACGTGAAGGTAATTATCTCAGTCTTCTTCGTTTTGACGGAGACTTTCTCAAAGCAGCATTTGTTTTCTTTTCTTTTGCTTGAGCAACTGTAAGAGGAAAATAATATATTAAGGAAGATGAACAAAAATTTTATGATGAGTCAGTAAAATAGATCTTTCCATATGTAAATGATAACAATTCAAATATCTTACTTTCACAYAGTTTGTCTTTAATCTCATTCATTCTTATCATCAGTTCCCGGAACGACACCACTCCGATGACATCACTTTTGCTGGTTGCTATGGATTGAAGCTCTTTTTGATTGGTGTATTTTCCAATCCCGACAGCCATCACATGAACACCCGCGGCCTTTAGGAGTTTGGCTTCCTCTGCAACAGCTTTTGGATTTTCCGATCGTCCGTCAGTCAAGAGAAGAAAGAGCTTGAAAACAGAGGGAGAACTTCGATATCCACCTCTCTTTGAGTAGAGTCTTGTACGTGCCAGCTTCAGTGCCAGCTCGGTCTTGGTACCTCCCTCTGTAAACTCCACATTATCAATAGCTTCGTCTACTGTATCATGGCTGAAATGTTGGTTGAAATCAAAGATGACGTTTGCTCTTGTTGAATACCGAATTAAGCCAACGTGTGTTCCCTTGTTGGAGACTTTGAAGCTTGCAATAAGAGCTTTGATGAAACGTTTGGCTTTGGCAAACCCGTCATCTCCCATACTCCCCGAGGCATCGATTGCAAAGGCTAGATCAGTTCTTTCACCACACACTGAGAGATAAGAAGAACAGGTCAACAATCATCAGAGAGAGAATCCTYAGACAAGTGACTGATGACAACATTTCGTCCCCTTTTTTTTTTGATTTTCCAATCAATAAATGCTTTCTCTTTACTTACTCTTWATTTTGCATATGTAAGGATACGCATTCAGGCAGTATTCATCACTCCATTTTCCATGCAGGCTGTTAACAACAACACAGTCTTCATTGTAGCCGTTGTGAATTGCCGACGGTTCACCAGGAGCCCAGTTAGTATAGTTAAACCGTTTTCCATCCGTCCAAACGAACTCATTTTCCCTGACGATGTCACTGGAGCCGATCCAGAGCTTTTCAAAGCCAAAGTAATAGCGAAGCATTTGAATCATCTGAAGTATTTTCAGGCTATCGACGTCTTCAGTAATGCTAAGGAGGTGTCCCCATTCGGTCTTGCGACAGTARACATCAGCCTCCGGCCATGATAGCATATCATCCTGGTTGATAATGAACTTGTACGTCCATATGTTATCCTCCAGTTCTGAGAGCAAATCGTCAAAGATTTATAAATAAAAGCTTTTTTAAAAAAGTCATTCGTGTATATTTATTTGCATTTGCTTTGTATATCGTACTGCATGATGAACAAAAAACACAAGGAAACGAAGATTATCTCTTACCATATCCAAATCGACGTCTCTCTGTCAGCCTCTTGGGAACCCCTGTAAGAAAATAAATCAACTCTCAGTTCACACATGAAAGGGTAGTTCTATGAGACATGGGTTAGGTCTTCATTTCTTCCCTGTTATAACGCTCCTCAAACGTCTTAGTTATCCTACATGAAGTCATATTAACGAGACCATACAGGATGATATGGAAAGTGTTACCTTCTGTTTTGCAGATATATCCTCTCGCCATGTAACAATCTTCATTSACCCACTCCACGTCTTTACGGGAAGAAACTAGCGATAGRCACATCTCATAGTCTTGCTTCTTGCCTGGTCGTCTTGCATCGAGGTAGTATGCTGAGTAAAACACGAAGGGCTTGCCATCAATCCACTCAAACGAACCAAATTGACGCCTGTCTGATGCTCCGACCCAAAAGCGAGCTGCCTGGTAAGTGTGCTGGACAGACTGGATCTTTCTATGTAACCATTCATTTTCTGCTTGGCTTGTTATGCTTGCCAAATGTCCATTTTCAAACTCACTGCACAGTTCCTCTGCTTCGTAGAAGGTGCGAATGTCATCTTGTTCAAAGACGACCTTGTAAAAGTACTCATCTGATTCGAAAACTGTAGGAAAAAAAAGAAAGAAAAAACATTTATTTTTCCAGAAATAAATTATTTCGTGTCAAGTAAAAAACGTCATATCGATGTCTGGTTGACGTCATTCTTCCATTCTATATTTTATTTCTACTTCAAATATTCAGACAGTCTTCATAATGAAATGGATTGTCCATTCCTGACAGACACATKATGATTAGAAGCCATGTTATGGAATTTGACCTGCGACAGAGCTAACGATCTTTGATCAATCAACTGTGATTGCGAACACATGATATGGACAAAGATAAACTACTTCTTGATAGCACGCGTCATTGCATTACGTAATCACTTAGGGTTTATTAGTGGATTAATAATGAAYATAGTGGAGTAATTAATGAGACAGAATGGAGTAGTTATAGACTATTTTATTGGTATGTTTCTAAAAGGCGCTTCCTAACCTTGATTGTGGAGTAGGAGTGAGACAAACAGGAAAAGGGAGTAAAACAGGAACCTGMGCTAACTATTTTGGCAACTATTTCAGCCTTTCTTGATTACCGCCAACAGACAAGCTCTACATGATATCTTTTGCCGTCATTTCTATGTATACTCCCTTTATTCAACAACATGTGATCAATATTTGGAAGTAATCAATGTCTGTACTTTCCTTAAATGGAGATATGAACACATGATTTCATTCTGATCGAATGGTACCTACTTGACCGATCAAGTGTCGGACGTGGTTAGYTACACCCTAAGAATTCTGGGCATTACAATCATTACGCTGTAGCTGCTAGTACATTAGGGACAGCAYGGGGTATTAATTCGTGGTTAGCTATTGCATAATGGAAGTTACCAAGCCGCTAATGAGTTGACAGATGCAATAACCCCATCGTGCTCCACAATGCAATGCGCGCCTAGRGTTTTTATGACGTCATTGCCTTAATAAGTCTGGATCGATATTGACGAGAATTTGCAAGCTTGACCAGGTTAAGTGTCTTTTCTTTTGACGCAATGTTCCAGAAAGCGCTTTATGAACAGACATAAACAATTAAGGGATGTCAAGAATTACGACCCAGAAAATAGACAGTGCGTTTTGAGACCCTCTTGGCAAACGGCCAGAGACGAGCTGACAGGGATTTTTTTTGTAGTGATATGTGTTTCGACAATAATTAGAATTTGATAAAAATGGTTATTTTGTTTTGAGGCGTTTGAACTGTTATCTCGATATGTATGACCCGTCTTGTTAGATATGCAAGAAAATAGTCACTGCACGCTGTCCAAAAATAGCAGACCTCATTAAAAACTAAAAAACATGTCAAAACCTTCAAGCCATTTTCAAGCCATAGATTTCCTGTTCGTGCTGACATGGGTTCTTTCAAATCAACCTTACAATCAACAGCCAACCATTTTTGTTCTCGAAATATAATAGTACTTTTACTGATATGCATTAGGTACATAGGTCTGGTAATGTTTAGCAATGTTTGCAGAACTAGCTATCTCGTTTAGATCAGCTATCTGCTAAACTTTCCTTGATTACGATGGAATAGTTTATTTGTCGATACAAGAGACTCGCAAAAAGTTGCCTAAAGGAACGTCTCGACGGGAGAAAGACTATTGTCTTCTGCAGCGCAGCGGTGGCAGCAACATCAATAGCCATAAAACACGATGAACATTCAACAGACAACATAGATTATTAAAACAARTAGGTATAAAAACGACATCTCTTGAGCTAACATTAGTTCATGAACATTGACTATAGCAAATTCTTTCTTATTATCAGCGAGTGAAAATAGAAAAAGAGAAKGCTTACCGTAACCGGGTGTGGATCGTTGTTGTAAAGTGGTATGSSTGAAGAAAAGCAGTAGAACTGCGAACAACCACAGACTTGTTAGAGCCATTGTCGATCGTTGTTACTCGATTGTTGCTTCACTTAAACTAAGTCAACGTTGGTTCGATAAAATGCCTTAACTACCCGAGCCTTCCGAGGTCTCGACCCTAATATAGAGAGCTACTGCCCACTCCTAAATTACCAATGCAACCTTAAACCATCTGATTGAAACTAGGAGTTGAAACTGAACACGACGCAAATATCGTTCAAAAAAGAAATTACCTTGAATCAATTAACAACACTATATGACTGGAAGAGTGAGCAGGGACACCATACAAACTCTTCGCTATCAAGATAATGTTCTTTGTGTTTTAGCAAATCCTATCTTTAATTCAGAAAGCATCAAAAGCATTTTTATTGGATTGCTTTCATCTTGCGGCAGTAATTCGATGACTGTAGTCTGCATAGATGAAATAATTAGGCGTATAAGTGTACAAGGTTTTGACCCTTCGAGAGTGAAACAAAGCAGAATTATATATGGAGCAGAAATGCAAGAGTCATAGATCCATAGAGTTGCAAAGAAAGTGGATGAAACCAGAGGGAAAATRAATAGTGCTTGCACCGATGTCAGTATAGGAAAYATCGTTACAAAACCTGGCTGCAAGGGAGTATGGGTGATCATTGACCTGGAAATACCAATCATCTTAGCGTCATTAAATGGTCAGTACTAATATGATTCGTATGTAGAGCTGGTATGCAAACGCTKGCCATCCAACCTATAAATGAAGACATCAAACATTTTACAGGAAGAAAACACACCAACTATATAGCAAGGAGCCGCCCACCTCTGGGCGCTTACCATGGTGGAACCTGGATTTTCTGGAAAGAGGTTTGCTGGAAAAAGTTTAACGYGGCACAAAAAAGAGTTTCCAGGGACCAATTCCAGGATGGGAGCTCGMACMACCTRCAGCCCCTCCCATCTCTTCCTTTTATCTATTTATCTCACAGCGACAGTGAATACTGGTGATTAGGCCACAGCCAACSCTCACAGAATAATGGTTACCAAGAGCTGTAAACTGAATATTTCACGACGATCAATCAAAAAATTAATGAAAGAGGTTGCCTTATTCGACCTATACGTGTAAATAATGTGTATACGTGTTTTTAATGTAATTTACTATATCTTAATCGGTTGTCATTTTTAACTACTTCCAGAGACTGCATCGGGGAGTTTATAATGCTATAACGACATCCTCTACTAATAACTTGATCAATGTTGGCAAATTGGGAGTTTATAGTCTAGACAGGAAAGTTTTATATTGTTAAAGTACAATATACGACGTCTATGAAAAGTATTAGTGTCATTACAATGCGTTTCATCCCCAACCACACTACAACCTAAAGACTTGAAAACAGAAAATAAATAAAAAAAGACTAAGCTAGTAGGAACTGCTGATATTCTTTGATACACCTTGTTTAAAATAAATAATAATTAATAACCTTGAACGAAGGTCAAACTCTTACAAACTCCTTAAATCTACTTACATGGTATTTACGAATAAACTTGGTTCTCGTGATYCTTTCCTATCTTTCATGGCCCACAGTGTGACCGCGAAGTTTGCTTTTTTTATACTCGGTCATCATAAATATGTTCTGCCAAGTGAAATATGAATTGAATCGACCGCGGTGTCAATTTTTCGTGAATCGAAAGGCGTTCTGCCAAGTAGCGAGACTAGACAATAAATTATTTTCTTTATTATGAAATCGCATTACTTTATACCTATTTAAAAATAATCTGATTGATGAGAGACTTTTGCGTTCTACTATTCCCATTATAAATAATCAGATTAACATTAATAAGTGACTTCAGAGTAATGGAGAAAGTCACGTAAAGAAATCCTGGCAGGGCGTGTCTTTTTAGCGCGTCTTGTGGTGAAAACACTAAAAACCGCTAAAGCGTGAGTAGTTTTCAAGAAAATATATGCAAATGTAGCGGGCAGAGCTGCTATGATGGAATAAGTAGTTTTGTTTCATGGTTTCTATTTAAAGGGGGTTTCTAGGGTCTCCACTGTGGTACTTGATAAGCAGTATAGAAAAAATAGTCACAAGTGTAATGATAAGGCACATCTTTATTTTCGCTTAATCTTGAATACTGTTTTCTTAACGAACTTAATAAATTAATAATGATCTTTGGTTTTTAACCATTTAAGCTTCATAATAATAAATTCATTTTAATTATATAACTATTCTTACATAAAATATCTACAGCTTTATCCCATGCGAGAAGTTTGTAAAACTGATGAAAGCCTTGCTAGTTTCTAGCAAAATTATAATAATTTTCCCTTTAATTTTCTATTAACCAATCTATTAATCAGCATTTTTCTTAAAATCTCCAAAAAATATAAAATGAATACCAAAAATAAATTAATTTTTTGTTTCAATGAGTATTTACACTTTAGCAGCTTGTCTCAATGCGCGGAAACAAYCCGACAGGGAACTGCTTYACGTGGGTCGGCCATTGCGATGATAGTGAGAAGAACTTGACATCACTCCACTGTACGCCATCGATAACCACTATAAAATTATCTTGTTAGTATTTAATCTTTGTTCAACCATTCAATTCACAACAATAACATGTTTTACAGCAATGCCAGAAGACCAAATCGATGTAAAATAACAACTTGGCATCAAAGAGAATTGTGGGAATCAACAAATACGAGGTAGGTCGCTTTAGGTCGCTTTTTGGGGGTCTGAAGTGGTTTGGTATTTGATAAACCCACACGGAAAGATAGGTTTTGGTGCTATTCAAAATACGAGTGGCATCAGTTTCCTGTTTTTAATGTTCATAGAAATCAGGTCAAGGTCTTACCAGTTAGAGTGTTACTTTGGCCTCTCGTTGTACATATAACTTTAGAAACATTAGCCACAACTGGCTGATTCTTGGACTCAGGATCCTTTTCTTTCGTCTTTTTCATTGATCTCATCATTGCTTCAAATCCTAAAACATTACAAATGTSATTACATCAGGCTATCGACACCTATCATCGAGAAGGAATATGGTTCTTGAACTGTAAAAACACTTGAAACACGACGACAGTTTTCTCCGTGTAATGATAGCATCATTAGTAGTTTAGGAAGCGTCTTTCATCTAAGTTCTCGTATTAACATTCATTATCAAAACGACAAGACCAAACCTACATCTTGTCCATTCACGGCCAGCTTATGTCGTCCTTGACCCACTCTAACCTCGCCAAACGAAACCTTTCTTGGTATATCTTATAATGTTGCAAATAACGGACACATACCTCTTTGTTTTCGCTCTTTCGTAATCGCCATTAAAGAAAGAGCAGACGGTTCATCGGTAGAAGGCAACCTCGTGACTATCAGAGACTTGAACGTCGTCTTTAATGAGCACTACAAACAATTAACTCAGCGTTATATATCTGGACAACGCAGCATTATTAGTCTCTTTAGAGCCTATTGAGGCCCACTASTAGTTAAGGGATGTGCATAAAAGTGTATAACAGCGGACTGTCCGTATTAGTAGCCCTGGTAGTCACGCGTTCCTAGCCGCTCCGAGGGAGTTTGGGGCGAACGGTCTGTAAGTGCAGGGAATATAGAGATGTTCAAAGAAGTGGGGCGTATTCGCGGGGTGTCTGCACTAGCGAGATTTCATTATAATTTCTAGTCGTGTCTGTTCGGGGAAACGCSATCTAGTAGCAACAGCTTCTCAATCGTCATCCTAAAATAGATGAAGTATAAATAAACGGTAGCAGGGGTTATTAAGCAAGTCTGTGGCCTTCCACCCGCTTGGATTTCCATTCTTAAAAGCATCTCACGATCGCTTCGATAGTTTCTGTCCGCGCCCTCTGGTTACCCAGTCTTAATTAAAATCGACTACAAGGAACCAGTCGATACAGATCTGGTATAAGGTAGCATTGCATTTAATAAAAATGACAACAATGTGGTGATATTTGAAGGTCAGCCAGCCATCCTACACGATACCACGACTAACTCACCTTTGTCGCTTCTTTTTTGTTCCCGGACAATTGCCAATAATCGACTTGTAAGTCCATTAACTCACTACTTGTTTGAGGAGAAAGTGATACAACGCTTGACTCTTTACTGGAACTAGAAAAAATCGAGAATAATGATTAACAATTTTTAAATAGGAAAGCGAAAGGATAGTATTTCATAGAGGAGGAAGTGAAGGATTGCCAGTCTAAAGATTGCTAGCGGGGTGTGATAATTAACTCACCTAGGAGGACTGGACACAACTACCGGTGGTGACTGTGTTCCTGACAAGCTTGGTGCTTGCTGTTCTCCCCTTACTGCAGTAGCCGTTGTTTGTGCACCAGTATTGGAAGCCTGACCACTTGTTGTGACAATATCTTCATCTGAACATATTAGTAATAACGTTATTTTTACCAACAACATCATCATCACCACCGCCACAACCACCAACACCATCATCATCATCACCAACACCATCCCCACCACCACCACCACCATCATCATCATCATCATCATCATCATCATAACCATCATCATCAAAATCACCACCGCCACAACCACCACCACCACCACCACCACCACCACCATCCCCACCACCACCACCACCACCATCCCCACCACTACCACCACCATCATCATCACCAACACCACCACCACCACCATCATCATCATCACCAACAACAACAAAAACAACAACATCATCATCATCATCACCACCACCACCACCATCCCCCTCACTGCCATCATCATTTTTCGAAACCGTTATACCGTTACATTTCACTACCTTTACCATAGGACAATACTAGAATATCTTAATAAACTGCTTTAACAAATAAATTGATAAACCTACCAATATATGGGTCTGTACAGCCAATTCGAACATCCTAAAAAGAAACAATTATTAACAGACTATTACACACACTATTACACACATTATTATACAATATTAGTTAAATGTTAGGGAATACTCAAACTCCTTACACAAATGAAAGGTACAAACACTTGTGAAGAGCCCTCGTCAGACCTGGAAGGAATAACATTTATAATTATCATGTTAATGCATCTATTATTACTCTTGTTAGTAGATTCACAACAATAATTACTGCAATAGTTTACCCTTTTTGTTTGGTGTTTATTAGTGCTTCTGCAATGGGTAGATTGTGTATAATAGTTTGTGCTGCCATATATGTATTCACTCTGCCACTGATTACATCAAAATCTATAAAAGAAAACATCTTTGTCTTCATTTTTGTATCAGTTACAGTATA